TATAGCAAACATACGTTTGCTTCATCGGCACTCCCACCAAAAGAATATGATATAGCAAAGAGGCCTGACCATCCTTGAAATTCATGTATGACCTGTGACCCAAAGGTACTCGTGGCAGTGTAGTCGAGTGGTCGAGCGTGTCAAGAAACCGGTTTGAAATTCACTTAGGCCCTGTGACTCAAGAGTACTGGTGGCAGTGTAACCGAGTGGTTAGCGTGTCAAGCTACCGTACTGCACTGTCGCGGTTCGGACTCCCGATGAGGGTGTTGATAAGACCGATGCGAGGTCGAAACTGCAGTCCACTGGTGCCTGGATGAGAACAACTTTTAGGAAAGCAAGGCCATGTGAAATTCAATGAAAACGTCAGCTCAACTCATATCATTGTGGGAAAATTCTACTAACCGTACTTCATCACCTTACACGAAATAGGTTGAATACATCTCATAAGCAGTTTTAGTTTGGTTTAGTGCATTTTGTGCGTTTTATTTTGTTAAAGTACGCTTTACCGTTGCAAAGCGTTACAGACGAATAGAGCATGGAGCCAAACAATCCCAACATCTTCACTTTTTTCGGCATCAGTTCACGATATTCCTTCCAATCAAACAATCTTTTCCAAATGAACTGTAACGCCAAAGCTTTCCTTATCGTCTTCTTGGCTGTCGGAGCCCAGCTTCACTCACCCTTGAACGTCTGTGTGGTGTTTTGCAGAAGTGCGGTGGAATTCATTTTCGGCTGCCACGACTGTACGTTGACAACCGAAATGGAGGACATCTGTTTCCACGCGCCGGCCGCATTCAGTCCGGCCAGCCGGTTGACAATGTACTCGGCCATCAGTTCCCACTCGGCGTCGTTGCGCCAAGACGGTCGCTCGTAGACGATGAAGACGCTGCCCCAGCCGAAGTAGTGAAGCAGACTGAACAGACTGACGGTCAACTGGGCGGCACTGGGGCGGAAGGTCAATCTGTCAAAGGTGGAATAGAGGCTGGGCAACAAGTCGAGATCGGCCATCTGCCCCAAAGCGCGCGATTCCAGCACCGAGCTGTAGCCCACCGTCTGGCGGTAGGGGCAACGCCAGCCGATTTGGTAGACGTACCGATTGGCCGCCAGTCCGGCGTTCTGGCCCTGGAAGGCGTTGACGAGAAAGGGAAAAATGCTGCAATGTGCTCCTGCTGTGGGGCCCACGAAGACGACGTAGGCCTGCGGACTCGTCGAACTGGCCGCCGTCTGCAAGGCGTCCGTGACCACTTGCACCAACTGACTCACCGCTTGTCGGGTCAGTTCACATGAGCCCACAATTGGGATGCTGTTGAGGCTGATGTCGCCACTTTGCAGGTTGACCGACGTCGTCAGGCTGAGATTGACGGCCTGCGAGAGGCTGGCGGCCAAGTCGAAGGCGGCCGATGTGCAACTGGCGTCGGGCAGCAAAACGTTGAGATGAACACTTATTCCGGCCACTTCGACGCGACAGATCAGGGCTCCGGCGAACGCGATCATGAGCGACCATTGACCTAACGTCATGGTTGCCTCGGGCGGATGGATCACATTCGTGAGTTGAGCCAGGACCGGGTGTACAACAGACCGACTGGACACAGAAATGACACAATCTAAAGGAAGGGAGGAAAGGGGATGCTTTCTTCAAAGTTGCTTGTATGTGTGTGTGTGTGTGTGTGTCGTTGGGAAATGTGAGGGTGGGAGCGCAGCCGTCTGATTGGGGCTAGTCGAGACGAGGCTTGTGCATGGGCGACAGGGAGAAAAGGGGAAAAAGGGGAAAAAGATGCCGAAAGCCGGACGAGATAGGCTCGCATACACGAGCCACTTGAGCAGATGCTCGGCCGGCAAGGTTACATGATTCGGTGTTGGCCCGTTCTGTCCCACGTCTGACGGGAGGACATGTGAAGCGAGGCGTCAAGACCGATGTCGACGGTCGAATTGACCGACGACTCAAGTCGGCCAGCTCTCCACAGGCGGGCAGGAGAGAGGTGAACAACGAACTCCCTCGCTCCTCTTCACCTCCAATCATCATTCACTCACATGCACGGACATGTGCTCATGTCTATCACTGCAAATCATGTCGCATGCCCTGACGACTGTTGATTGGTTGCTATCGCAATTACCAGCTTGATTGAGGCATGTGCCGCAATGCAGACGGCGACCGGAGTCTGGAGGAGGTGGTGGGTTGATTGTGTCAAGGAGCATGACGGAAATGATGTTGGGGAAATACAGTTTTTCGTTTGTAAGTTGCCAATCAAGATTACCACTGCACCATTTATGCATCAAATATATATTAATCACTAGTAGTTGAATTTTCTCAAAATCATACGAATTCGCTCAATTTCACACAACCTTGCTTGCCCTAAACTTATTCTCATCCAGGCTTGACTGCACTTTCGACGCCGCCTGAGTTGGCCTTATCAGCACCCACGGCGGGACTTGAACTAGAGTTGTGCTAGTCCAGCATACATTCTCGACACGTTAACCCCTACGCCACACCCCCACGAGTCCCTATGAACCATACAGCACAAGTGAATTTCAAGGAAGCCTAGATTTTTCTCATTTCCCATTTCTGTGGTGGGGTCATCGATAAGGCCAAGTTTTAATTGCTATTACAATCGGCCATATTACTTATTTTCGTTTATAAGTAGGTTTCGAGTTGCCATTCAAGGTCTATTGGCAGTCTCATGACTGATCCATGAACGAAAATGTATAATCGAGGTTGGGAAGAGCAAGTTGGTGCGGCCTTTTGTGCAGTCGTAGTCTCCTTATTATCGTAAACGAATTATGATGAATATATTTTATATAAAAAATGGTGCACTGGTAACCTTGATTTGCAACTTACAAACGAAAAAATATGTGATAATGCCTGACAAATTGGTGACTAAAGTTATATGATCAGTCACTTCTGGATTAACTTATGCAACATCTGTACAAAGCACAACCAACCCACCACCTCGTCCAGTCTCCGGTCACCGTCTGCATTACGGCACATGCCTCAATTAAGCTGGTAATTTCGATAGCAACCAACCATTGGTAGGAAGACTTAGTGGAACGCACTTAGTCCGGAGTCCAATGCATTCATGATCATTTCCAAATTTGAACCGTGGTCGTGATACATTCGCAGACATTTCGTCGGCATCGTCAGTGATACGAGGATGGTGGATGGAAGGAAGGAGAGACAGCACGATTGTTTAGCAGACAATTGGTCAAAGGATCGGCTTCACTTGTCTCTTTAGGCAGTTTTTTGCGGTGCTGATAATGTGAAGACTTATTGAAGATGCCTGAGAAACGTCTGGGAATGATCATGCATACAATGGACTCCGGACTAGATGCATTCCTCTAAGTCTTCCTACCAATGTGACCAAGTTGCGAAAACAAGGGAAAATATATAATTTTGTCGACTGTAATGGCCGAATTGAATTTTGTCTTATCGACAATCCAACCATAAAACTGTGCTGTTTGAAAGCCCTCGGTTTCCGGTGACCCAAGAGCCCTCGTGGCAATCTGACATAGTTCTTAACGTGCCGAGACTGTGCGCTGCACCAACAGAACGCGAGTTTGAGTCCCACTGTAGATGATGATGAGAACATCTTATGCGAGGTCGAAATTGTAGTCCAGTCTGGATGAGAAAACTCTTTTTGGAAGGAGGACAATGTGAAATCCGATGGAAGTGGGCATTATGGAAAACTTTAACTATTAGTCCTTCATTACTCTAAACTAAATGAGCAGATTTATTGTTAGTCTCTAAATCTACTTATAAACGTAAACAATTTACATACAAGTCTCTTGTCTCTTTGACGAGTTGTTGTATGGTGCTAAGAATGGCGATACTCACTGAGGATGCCGGCGAAACGTGTGGGAATGTACCACGTCCACGTTTCTCCTTTCA